AACAGGCTGAGGGAAGTGATTCATCCCCTCTATTTGGCACTCGTGAAAATGTGGAGTACTGTAACAACTTCCTAGTAGAAGAACAAGTTCAGTGGATGGCCAGCAACATAGTTAAGGGAATTGGAGAACGTTACAGATGACAAAAACTGAATTTGCCCAGACTCAGAAAGATAAAACTAAAAAATCTGGTTGCTCTGTTCCCTTGCTTCATGGAAGAAAACCAGACAAGAGTCAAACTCTTGAGAAACCGAGTAAGAGCACAGACACAGGACAACAGGCACTAGGCATTAAGTTGAAACATGGGAAATTATGTTTAAAAGAAAATTCTGATTAAAAGAAAAAAAGTCACCAAGAAGGTGGTCAAACACTGGAATAACTTGTGAAATTTCTGTCCACTTAGTTCAAAACTCACCCAGACCATACCCTGAGTAACCTCATCAGATTTTCCCTGCTTTGGGCACAGCACTGGCCTAGGCAGCCTTGGGAGGTCTCATCCAAGCCCTGTTATTCTGTCATTACACATCTGATAACAATTTATTTCTTGGGGTTTATGAGGTGGAAAGTAATGTGGAATTGTTCATTAGATGTATAAGACCATTAACGGGGGGGGATTTATTGTTAGACTACTTAGGTCTATTTAAAGATAAATAATTTCAAAAATTATTTCAAAAAATAATATTTCAATTAAAAATTTAAACTCATGCTGAATGTTAGACTTTTTTTTTTTTAAGTCAGTGTTTTTATTGCAGGCAAACTTGTCAAACTATTTCTTTTATTCTAACATGTCACTGTCCTCTTCCTTTCTTTCTAATCCTAATTCCCCATACAATATCATTTTTTCCCCATAACTTGGTAACTTGGTCTCCTGTCATGACGAAATTAAGTGTAACTGGAACAAGGATACAACCAAAGTACTAGAGGTCCTCTCTGAAGACAACTTTTTTTTATCAATCACCTATTTTTATCTTTTGTCTCTGTCTTTCAGAGAAGACGCAGACATCAGAGAGTAGAGGGGCATGCAAGAGTACAGTCACAGCTTCCTAACAGCTTAACTCACACAGCTACTAGAGGCGCATTGTGGAAATACTTCTGCCATCAGAAATTTTACTGCAACATTCACACTTTTCTACTGCAAATAAAAGATCAGAGAAATTTAAAATCAATCCTAACCACGATGGTTCAGATTTTCCTGTGCCTTTATGTAATTTGCTCTGTCATTCATTTATCATGCTTAACATTCATGTGAGCTTACATCAGAGATAAAGTACAACTGGCATTCCTTCCACATGGAAATGCATTCTGGTGTACAATCCAGTCCCAAAAGCCAGGGCAATTAGATTTGTTCAAGATTTTGGTAAGCACTGACTATTCAGAGAAGACCGCAACCCTAAATATGTTGGCATGCTCATACCTACAAAAGATATAAAGAATATTTCAATTAAAATAATATCTGCTGTTGTTTGTTTTAAATATAAAGTAGTAACTCAGCCTGTTATTAGCATACAAGCACAAAATAAACAAGAAGGCTTTATTTTTATTCCCTTCCTCATTTTAAGGATCCACTGCTGCAGGAGGGATTAAATTTACCATATAGTTATACCCTGATCCATCAAACTTATGTCTGCTACTCCCTAACAAAGAGTTTTAAATCTCCTCAGTGCATAAGTGTTAGGAAAATCCCATTATTGAGAATCAAATCTTTTCTCAAAAAAAAAAAAAAAAGTAATCACTCAGCAGTAAGTACCACACACACAAGCACTATTACATATTAAGTGACTTGAATCTGTTGAGAGAGACAACCAGAACAATATTCTGAGTCAGACTTGCACACAAAATGCATAACAATCCTGTTAACTTTGCAAAATACTTCTTTTGTGTGAGTTGTAGCTCAGGAAAGACCCCATATTTAAGCTATGAACAGCAGCTATATCTTGCAGATCAGAGGTAGAGGGACATATTTCAAGCCAGTTTGAACATGGAGCTACAGAGACCTCACTGCTGCTGAAACAAAGCATTACTGAAGCTAAAATATAGTACTCCACAATTATAATGAAAAGTGTTTGGTATGAGCCCTACAGACACACAGGACAAAAGATGGCATTTTCAGACCAAGAGGATCTAGTCTACTGAAAAGACAGAATATAAAAATGAAATAGAGCTTTCAAGTGCTGTGTTCTAAAAGGAACTGAAAAGACAGATGAATAGCTGCTTAGAAAGCTAAAATGAACCATGGAATGCAAATTACACAAAGACAAAAGATTCAAGAACTTCAAACTAAAGTGAGCCTTGAAGAGAAATTTAATTTATTTAATCCACAGTAAACATATTTGGCACCATGGATCAAATACTGCTATCTTAATACAGACACACAGAGTCTTCTTGGAACGTTATTTAAACAGACCTCCAACTAAAGAGGAAAACAACTTCTGGTAGTACACATGCATTATTGCTTTGATATTGTGGAGCAAATCCAAACAAACAAGAGTGGAGATGAAAACTGGAAGCACAAATATCAAGGTTATTTCAGATGACTTCTACTTGCTCCTTTGCAAAAACCTTTAGAACAAATTCAGAAGAGGTTTGTTGAATGGTTTTGATACAAAAAATCATGGTTTTGAACATTAGCACGTTCTACTTTTCCATAAAACTGGAAATGTGTGTGTATAGTTACGGTTATCACTATTTTACTATTAAAAGTTGCAATGAAGCTGAAGCAATTCATTTTGACTTTTTTTTTTTTTTAATAAATTGATTTGTGCCTTTTTTTTTTTTTTTCGGTTTTACTTTAAAGATTGAGAAGTGAAACTTTCCCTATTTGTTGCAAAGTGACTATAGGCCCTACATATAGGTCAGAAATCTTTCTTCAAATATTCTGCCAGAATTGATTAGTCTCAACAAAACATTTCAACTTCAGTGAAAGTTTTTTTTTTTTCCAACATAAAAATAATGCTCTAAAAACATTTAACCACCCATACTACAAATAAGCAATCTCTATTATTATCTATTATTGTTCATAACCCCTATTGTGGCTCATCCTATTTCAGCTTATTTTCCACAAAAATGAGCTGAATCTTTAAAATACTGAATGCTGTAAGTATGGAAATGCATTGGGCAAAGACACATTGAGATGGAGGAAAAAAGTTGGCTTGTTAAAGCAAAATATTAAGCCTCCCAAAAGATGTTCTGGTATCAGCTGAGCTGTATGTGTGGGACCAACAGATATACCCACACGTGTCTTAAGAGCTTTGTACTTCACAGCCTCCTTTGAAATAATACTACATGCTTTGGAAATTGTCATGGCAACAATGTATTTCTTTACAAATGGAAATAGTATAGTAAATAGGCATATAAAAACCCCTTACAACCTGACAATAATGTAGCTTAAGCTTGCATGCCCTCCTTCATTGAAGAACAGAAGTAAGGGTGACAGTAACATGTGAAAAATCCACATACAGAGCAAAATCCTGTTTAAAGGCCTCACACACAACAGTTGACAAATGAAGGAAGTGACATTTAAGCAGCAGGACCACCTCCTGCTCTCATTAAGTTGATGGACTTTACAGGTGGACGAACCATCTTGGTGCAGTACAAGAAAAGAGTACTCAGCACTTCAGCACCTTGACACTGCAGAGTGAAGCCCTAGTTAAAATTGAACATAAGTATGCCATCCATGCTCTCAGGTACGTGTATGACAGTCACATTTCTTGTCTCTGCTGAGTTAAAACATATTGGGTTCATCTGAAATTGCTTTGTTGAATCTGAAACCTGCCTTGTTGAATTTACTAGAGCCTGAGCCTATTTTATGTTGCAAAAAATAAATGGGAGCATGTCAGAGAATCCTACCATTTTTTTCTGTTACTGTGCTAATTTCACAGGTGCACTCTAGACACCTCTAAACAACATTAAGGCTATTAATCTGTTACAAAGCCATGGCACATAACTGGGGATCTAACTCCATTTCCACAGCCCTTTTTTACCTCTCATCTATGCTGGCATAAAATGCTGGAAACACCATGGAGCCCAAAAGTGGCAACATGATTAAATTTGCACCTGAAATTTTCTGTATTTTAAATACATCTTTTCTTTCTAATCCTTTTTTTTTTTTTTATTTTTTTTTTTCTTTTTTAAGAAATATTAGTTGTTAAAGGTGACCTTTACATGAAACAATTGTTTTAGAAGCTTCAGGGAAATAACCTGAAGGGTTTCCTGTATCGTCATCTGCAAAAAAGCACTTCTGCTAACACATTTTCAGTAACCAGAATTGAGTACTTAAAAAAATAATAATTTTGACAAATATTCCCACACTTTCTCTTTTATCTCCATCTCAGGATCCATTTAATGTTATAACAGGGTTAGGAATAACACTGTCTAATATCTTTTACATTGTCAAACTAGATAAACAAAATGCTATTTGCAACTTCACAAGCTCTTATAGAGAGCTCTTACAGAGTTTGTGTCATTCTCCCTCTTTAATATCAGATGAATGATATATAACAACTATTTTATTGTACTAATCTGTCACTGAAAAAAAATCAACCCAGTATTTCCACGTTCAACTCTACTCTGGAAGTAACTAAAAAAATGGAGACTTCCACTTCAAAGGCCATAATCACCTGAATGATTAATTTCTATACTACTCTTCATTAAAATTTTGATTTGTAATGAGGACAGAAAGGTACAACTCTAAAATGGTTAAGGCTTCATTAAAATTGTTCTCTTTGAAACCAGTAGCAATGCTCTTGCCCCAAAGTGGCAGAAGAAGCACTGCAACAGAGCACTTCTGAAAATTCTGATTTATCAGCCAAGGTACTTCTCTACTAAAAGAATAATATGTTCCAACAACTGTAACTACTGATGGTTTTAAAGTCCTATCCACAATTCCAGATCTCTAACAATGAACAACTATCCAGCAATCATCGACATTTAGAATTTAAAATCAAGAAACTCCTGCAGTTTTTCACAGTCAGGGAGGAAAATAAACACATGGACCATGATCCTACCTGTGGGTCAGAGAGTCGAGAAAGGTCAGGGTACAAGTAGAATTTTATCCCCTCAGAAGCACCCGGCAATGTTACTCCTCGAATCAGAAGAATCATCAGCATGATATAGGGAAACGTGGCTGTTACATATACAACCTAGCAAGAAGAAGTAATCATTAGAAAAATATTTTCTTACAAGTGCAACAAAGAGCATCCTTTATTTTGCTATAACATTAAAACAAACGAACAAAAAACGACAACGACAACAAACAGCACAATTAAATCCTTTTCTGGAGGGAAAGGGGCTTTTGACACCCTTGTTTTCATAAGGTCAATTTTGTCCTCCAGCCATATTACCTTCTTGTAAGGAAAGGTCAACACTTTTTTATAGAGAGACTGCGAAGTTCTCTAAGTATATTATTTACTCTTGGTTTGTGACAGGCGACTAGCCACTATACTACATGTATATAGCGTACACATGCACTACACCATGTACTATTCCAAACACTGATACAAGGAAACTGATTATCATAACAGATAATTCATTGTATAATCTTATACGTATTGCATAGCAATATCTGCAGTGAACTCTCAGTCACCTAGTAATTACTAAGCTGGCATCTCATAAAACTACTCTGTCTGCATGTGCATGCTTGAGTAAAAAGTATTTAATCAAGCCTAAAGGTTAAATACTATGTATATCCCCTGGCAATTTGCTATATTACCTTTATCATACAAAGCACCTTAAGGCAGGATTTCTTAAGTGCTCAAACCTAGCAATTTCTATTTTCACAAATGAGATTATTTCAAAAATTAGTATACTTTTTGTACATGGAGAGCAACTGAATGTTTCTGGAAACCTGCAAGTTCTATTTTCTAAAGAAAAAAAGCAGAATTTCTCCTATTGTACAGTCACATACCTGAGAGCCATATATAACTATTCAAAATTGGAAATGGTTTAGCTAATAGGTTCCATGTCACTACAAATATTCCCTTTTAATTGTACAGTACCTTAAAGTTAATTTTCCGTTAGCCTTTGTAACTACTTCTACCTGTGCAAACTAGATAGAGAATATCCTAAAATGAGTGATGCTCTTACATATCTCTGCCTTGCACAAGTCAAAATTATGTAAGAATGTGGGGGAAAACATGGTAAAAAATATAACTTGCATAGCTCTCAAATACAGGCATTTTAAACTTAGAAGTTCATTAACTGGTTCATGCCTATTTAAATGAAAAATATACATCAGAGAACATACCCATAATAGGAAAAACACATCTTCAGTGAAAAATTAACTGAATTTTGATTTTCAGACAGTGCTGTACACATAATTCCAAATACAAAATAAAAAAGGGGAAGTTAAAATCACACAGCAGAGCTTCGAATGTGTCTAGCTGCCCAAGTTATAATTCAACACCTTATTCTTCCTGACCTGAATAGGAACTAAGTACCTACATAACTTTCAGGTACCTTAAGCATTTTGAAAATACAAATCATTATTTTCCCAGGAAATTGAGCCAACCAATATAATCCTACTGGTTGCAAAATCCTGAATTGATTAATTCATAGGTCAATACAGTGCAAAATAGACAGTTTTATCCCAGTGTTTCCATCTATTATCACTGACTGTTAGTGGAAAAGCAAACCTAACTGAGAACAAATAGAACTTGTCTCAAAGAGAGGTTGTATCTCCACAGTGAGGTTCCAAATAAAAACAGATAATGAGTTACTAAGAAGTAAAAAAGAAATACAGAACGGACATGATTCTGATCTGAGTCTTGTATTGGGTGGAGAGGACAGAATAGCTAGAAACGAATTTTCATGTTTTTATATTTAATTCTTTGACAGCTATTTTTCTCCCTCATTTAAATGAATAGTTGTTTATAATGGGAACAGTCAGTAGAGATATCCATTCAATGACACAGAAGGTATTGCACCTGAATGCCTATTGGTTTAAAAAGTAACATTTCATTGCATCATGCTTCATTAACTATACTAGTTTGCATCATGCTTCATTAACTATACTAGTTTGCAGCCTACTATCTCTTGTACATCCTGCCACTGCCTTGAAACATTTTACATTAGTAAACAGATTGCAGTTTTGTAAAAACAGATTTCTTCCCAGGTGCCTTTGGATGTATTTCCTCACTCACATCAATGAAGAAGAGCTAAAACTGCTTATCTCTATGAAACATCAGGTAAAGCTACCCTTGAACAGTCCACAATCCCACAGCAACCATCCAGGCTTGCAGAGCTACACTTCAGTTTCCTGCTTTCTTTTCAGAATGCCTTCCATACCTATTAACATTATTGCAAGTACTAGAAACACAACATCTAACACCTTTTATTATAAGGATAGGTGTCCGTCAGCTTCACAAGAATGAAGACTCTCCTTCCTTTCTGGTTACCATCTAGGAAGAGGATAGGGAGCAAGACTGCCTCAGTATTTCTGGCAATAAATGCTAATACAGATATCCAAAACAATGAAAGAGATACAAAAAAAAAAAAAAAAAAAAAAAAAAAAAAAGAGAGATACCAAAAAAAAAGCACAAAAAAATACACCCTTACTGAGCCAACAGACACTGTTGGTGTTAATGCTCATAGAGCTCACAAGGGTATTAGTTTCTCTGGGACTGCAGCAGGCATACGTATTGTGCTCAGAAAGGGGAGAGAAGGCCATCACTTGTAGGTGGTGTTTGAGTCCCCCTGTGTGTTGAGCCATTTAATTCCATTGTGTCCAGCGTATCAGTTGTCACTGCACTAATTTTATCATGCTTCTCAAGAGCTCGTGAGGTGAGGGAGGACGAGGCATTTTAGAAATCAAATGCCATTATTATCATCATCACATCTGTAGGCATTAAAAGTTTCCGAAATTATTTTCTTTTCTTTCAGCACATCAAACCTCTCTGAATATAAAATGTGAACACAACTGTTTCTAATTACACTGCATCCTGTTTTAATTGACTTTAATTGCTTGGTATGTTAATTTGCATTCCAATGCTCAAAATGCTTTTTTTAAACTCATCAGAGCAATGCCAGCATTAAAGCAGTTGGAAACAAAATGAAAATTTCTGGGATGGTGGTTTTTCTACCAAGTTCTCATGTTAGAATATAATGGAAGGGCAAATTTACAAACACACTTAGATATATAGTTATGTAGAGAGGCACCTACTAGGACATCTAACAGCTCATAAACAGACTTAGGTGATTAGCTAAAAGTGCATTAGGACCAAGGACCCTGAAAGTAAACGTTCAAAAGCATTGTGGTACTCCTGACTGCCATGAACTTGCACTACCAAAGTACCAGCACTTCAAGTAGTAAAACCTGAAGAGACTGACATGCGATTTAAGTTTCGTTATAACGACAGGTAGGTATCTATGCAATGGTTTCATGAATAACGCACCATGAGGGTACTGAGAAATGAACTAGCTATCAGTTTGCATCTTTTCATACCTAAACATCTTTAGAAGCATAAACCAAATGTGTGGATACAAATTTGGCTACTGGGACTGTTGAACTTCTTGTCCTCAATGAAAAGGTGCTTTTCTGAATGAATAAGGAAGATGCCCTGCATACAATTTACTGAGCCACACAACTCTAGAAGCCTAAGAACAGGTTTCTCAGGCTACAGCTACTACAGAACATGTCTGCTGGGTATTCACACACTACATCACAGCAGCTTCTTAGCAGAAGAAGTGAAAAACATGAAGCGGTGGACTTTAATCCTTTGTTTGGCTCGTATTAAAACCATAACTGAACTAGAATTCAAAGAGCAAAATATAACTTTTGGAGGTTAAGGAAGTTTCACCACTGCCCTGACAACATAAGAAAATAAGAGCACATCTGTGAGATACCAACGAAACTCAACATTCAAATGGTTACAAGTCTTACACAGCCTTGGCCACAGCAATAGGCTAGCTGGAAAAATAAACAAAGCAATATCGGGTATTAATGTTAACATTAAACAGTGATACATGGAGCTCATTCATTTCTGGTTTGGACATGAGCACTTTTATCTGATTTTCACACAAAAGTAATCTATTTGTTTTCATAGAATCTTAGAAAATCTTGGGTTGGGAGGGACCCCAAAGCCCACCCAGTCCCAACCCCCTGTCATGTGCAGGAACCCCTCCCCCCCAGCCCAAGCTGCCCCCAGCCCCATCCAGCCTGGCCTTTGGCGCTGCCAGGGATGGGGCAGCCACAGCTCCTCTGGGCAGCCTGGGCCAGGGCCTCACCACCCTCTGAGTGAAGAATTTCTCCCTTTTATCTAATGTAAATCTACCCTTTTTTTTCGGTTAAAACTGTTACCCCTTGTACTATCATTGCATTCCCTAATAAAGAGTCTCTCAGTGACAGGATATTAAATAAATATCCTGGTATTGATCAGACCTCATCATAACAAATCTCAGATCTTAGAAAGATGAAAATGAAGGAATCTTTTTTTTCCTGCAAGCTACAATTTTTTTTTTGTTTTTTTTTTGTTTGTTTGTTTTGTTTAATTCTAATGAAACAATTTCATTTTATAAATGGAATAGAAGTGTTTAATTTTACTTGATGCTTCAGAAACTTACTGTCTTGCTAATCCTCTTCCTTTGAATTCCCCTATTTTTCCATTAGAAGATAAACACAGGTAATAGATAAACACAACTTAAGAATTGCTGGCAATTTGCCTAAACTCAGAATATATTGAAAATAAGGCCTGACACCATGCCCTGCCCATCCTTTACTTTTGTCTAGAGTTTTTGACCTATTGGATAGTCATTTGGCTTATTTATTTATTGAACACTGAGAACTAGACTGACACCACCAACTTTGTCGAGAGAAGACTGCTGAGCAGTCTTCAGATATCAGTGACATACAAAGCTTGTCTAAAAAGGAAAAATAGAAGACAAAATTATACCCACACTACAGAGTACACCCATGTGAAGAGAAACAATTTGAGAACCAAAATTTCACTGCCTGAGTGATGACAGAGAGAAGAAAAATTTTTATCCTGCTTCACAATGATGATGCAGAAGGACGTATCAGTAAAAATATAGAAAAATAATTATCACTGTCTGGCAATTCTAGCACCTTTGTGAAAAGGCCCAAGTCTACCTACATGGGCATGAATTTCATCAACATTAAAAATGCCTATATGCCACAGTTAACCCA